AGCTAATGCAACACATGCAAAATGCAACTAAAATAGGCTCGGCTTATTCTAAGATGGCGTATGAGATGCTATAGATAACATGTATTCAACTCGGAATTGAAATACAATGCAGTTAGTATGATGCGCCGAGCCGGTGCATGCAAGACAGATGAATGGATGCAAACATGCGAGCATAAGGCTGCTAATTGAAACATGCCCTAAAACTAACCATCGTAAGCTGGTAAATAAAAGGGAGAAAAAAATGGGGGTTGGAAGACATACATCACACACACGCACACTTATTTACAACAGTTGTGCCCTCTCGATGGAGGGTCTGAATAAATAATACAAAAATCAACTAGCTAATCTAAGCTAATCTAATTAAACAAGTTATTACACAACCACAATGAATAACAAATTACAGCTAATTATTACATAACTCTAACTAATTAACAAATTAGCTAAGTAAGCAATTAAACTATCATGCAAACTACATGAAACGGACTGCCTCAGCTCTGCCTTGGATGATGAAGGATGCATGCATGCTTGAATTGCCTTGTTCGGAAATCCCTCGCGACGCCCCGACTTGCCTTTGTTTGCAATTAACATCAGAACACTGCACAAGGCACTAGAAGGATGAAACTCCACCTTGGGAATCTGTGGGAAGGCTGCCGACCAGCTATTGGCCTTGGAGGCCACCTGCCGACCACCTTTTGTGGGAGAAACCAAAAGAGGTGGTCGGCCTGCTAGAAAAGCTGGTCGGCCGACCAGTTTCTGCCTCTGGTTTCTAGTTTTCTGCAACAAGGAGCAAGAGAGAGGCATGGCAAGGGATTTTCAACATATGTGTGCATGACCACTCTCCCCATCATTGTACAAGCTCAAGGGAGTATAGGTCTTGATCCTCGGGCCACCAATCACGCATCTCGATGCATGATGGCCGAGGAATCAAATTGCACAACTTTAATATAGAATGAATGCACATATGAACACATAAATGCCTAAACTCCATCATGTGTAGTCAAGAGTGACTGCACAAGGCTCCAGAAGGCTGAAACTCCACCTTGGGAATCTGTGGGAAGGCTGCCGACCAGCTATTGGCCTTGGAGGCCACCTGCCGACCACCTTTTGTGGGAGAAACCAAAAGAGGTGGTCGGCCTGCCAAAAAAGTTGGTCGGCCGACCAGTTTCTGCCTTTGGTTTCTGGTTTTCTGCAATAAGGAGCAAGGGAGAGGCATGGCAAGGTATTTTCAACATATGTGTGCACGACCACTCTCCCCATCATTGTATAAGCTCAAGGGAGTGTAGGTCTCGATCCTCGGGCCACCAATCACGCATCTCGATGCATGATGGCCGAGGAATCAAATTGCACAACTTTAATATAGAATGAATGCACATATGAACGCCTAAATGCCTAAACTCCATCATATGTAGTCAAGAGTGTCGGCGACCGGGAATCGAGGCACGTTTCATCACTTCAAGTATGAAACGTCCCTCGTTTCCCGTGTTTGGGCTAACTCCTATCCCGAACACAATGCAACAAACAATGGCATGCACAATGCGACTTTAAGTATGCAACCTAAATGCTATGCAACTAAGTGATGCAAACATGCAAAGGATGACATGTAAACATGCAACTAGCATACACAATGCTATGAACTAACAATGGCATATTCAATGCACGTGGTACTTAGCATACACAATGCACCTAAGAACTAACATACACAATGAGATGAACAAGGCATGAACAATGCAATGATCAATCATGCGACAATTGGGCATACTCAATGCTATGGAATACAATGGCATACTCAATGCAAAAATGGACTTAAACCAAAATGACTGGGCCTCAGCCACACCCAAATCAGTGGCCATAGATGATGAAAACAAAGCTCCAAAACTCATGCTAGCATGCACAATACAATGGCCCCGAGCCTAAGGCACAAAAACACAACTTTGCACATGCATTGAAAGGACTAAACATGGAGTACAATGGCATATATTCCAGCTCTGAAATGGCATATAACATGACTCTAAAATGACTCCAAATCATGCAAACAACTCACACAACGCATGTTGAATGGCTCAAGCATTGAAACTAGTGAAGTGCATTACACTATAGACATGCAAAGCGATGCTCAAATGATGAAACCAACCCCAAAAAGACCCTATGCAGGTCCAAAACTATAGCAAAATGGGTTGGGATGATGGCTTGAAAGGTACAAAAGTGAAGCTCATGCAATGGCTCGCAAATAGGGCATAAATGCACAACTCTAAAGAGCACTTAAAGCATGAAAAATATGGAAGTGTAGCACCCCTATAAGATCTGAAATATCATGCCCAATGATGCCAAAACAGGTAAATAGCTCAAGTTAAGCATGCAAGGGACCTCCAAACTCAAAGCTAGTCAATGCTATTACACTACAACCATACATGGAAAGCTTCATTCGACCAAGGGACCTCAAAACAGACCTAAGGCAGCCCAAAATATGAACAAAATCAGTTTGAAGTATGGCCAAAATATGCTAGAATAGAGGTCCAAAACAACATGCATTGTGAGCTAGTGAACATGAGTTACACTACAAGCATATGAAGCATGTGAAGGACTACCAAACGAAGAAAAAATAGAGTCGTCGCATGCCAAATGATGGCCAAAAACCCACTGAAACAAGACCAATACATGCAAGAATGACATGCTCCTTTGATAAGCCATGAAAGAGATTACTCTACGCATGCAAGAAGCAAGCAAAAGGGGACCAAACTAGCCATGGTCAGAGCCTAGGCAGGTCCTAGAAGTCACCAAAAAGTGCCTGAACTAGGCCTCCAAATGGTATAAACATATGCTCCTTTGGTAGGCCAAAAATACTAGTAAACAAGACAGCAAGAGAGAGGGTCACCCCTCTCTAATTTAGGCCCTCAAAGCCACATTCTCACCACTGAAAATCCACTAGATTTCAGTGGTAGGAAGGCCAAGCAAAGACTAGCTCGAATGCCTTATGGCATGGCACAAAACAAGGCTAAATAGAGCATGCAAGAGGGTAGATGACCCTCAACACCAAAAGAGCCTTGAACAAACATGAAAAACACTTAAATATGAAGCTTTTTTCAGTTGACAACAAAGCTCAAATAAGCATGCAAATGAGGCTAAGAGAAGGATCAAAACAATGCTTAAAAGGAGGGAAAATAAGTTACCCTTGAAGCTCAGCAAAACCCGCAACTTTTTTGAACCAAAACCCAACTTTTGAGACCTCTTAAAACCCTCCAGCAACTCAGTAACAATGGTGGAGGTGTATGGTTATGAGGTGGTGTGCAATAGGCCAAGAACAAAGCACTTTCTAAGCCTAAAATATAAAGACGAAGAGAGAGATATAAGCTTTGCCTTAGAGCAATTTTTCAACCTGGTATAAGGAGAGGGAGGGCCTCTCTTATAGAGTTTCCAAGCCAAAGCTTCTTCAAGAAGCTAAAAACAAGGCTCAAGATCCTCCATACACGTGTATGGAGGATCCAGTCTGTGCCTTCCAGCTGGCACAACTGGCATGCGCTCAGACAGGCAAAACAGGAGGAAGCTGGCCAACCAGAAGAGGTGGTCGGCCGACCACTTTCCCTGGTCGGCTGACCAAGTCAAGTGGTCTCCCAGATAAAAACTGGTCGGCCAGGGAAAATGGTGATCTCCACTTTGAAAGCAAGCTAGTGGTGTGGTGGGAGACTAGCAAATGTGGCCCAAAGACCAAGAAAACCAACTTCTCGACAAGAAAATTGACTGGCGGGTAGAAAGTGGTCTCCAAGGAGAAAAGGTGGTCTCCCACCCTTGTACCACCTCCTAAACAAGGAAAACAAGGTTCACGCCAAAAATAAACCAACACGGATGCAAAACGAGAGTTCGGGAGGCAAAACGCGCGGCCGGGTGCCCCGAAAACTGGCTGTTGAGCACCAAAAGTGGCGTACGGCCACAAAAGTGGTCTTCGGGACCACAGTGTCCCTCTAGACAGAGGAAACAAGGTGTGTTCCAAAAACCGTGCCAAACAGAGAATGTTAAGCGGTCCCGAGCCGAGGCGCGCGACCGACGACTCTGAAAATCGAAAACTAGTCTCCAAACGGGAACAGTGGCCTACGACCACGAAAAGTAGTCTACGACCACTGGGAGATGGTCTACAAGACCTCTCCCTCCCTCTGGGAAGAGAAAACAAGACTTAGTCCGCAGACTGAGTCAAACCACAAAAAGTTCCGAGGCTCGGAGGGTAAGGCTCTAAGCGAAAACTCCGAAACTTCAGAACGAGCACAACATGCACCATCACCGAGCGCTCAATCGATGATGTCTGAGTCTCAAGGTCGGTCTTGCATGACATCCTGAAAGTACGTGGAAGATCGATAGCAACGTTAAATGTATTCCGCTAACATTAATGATTATGAACCATGCCTATTGTATATCTTTTGTGTATGTTGTAATTGATTGTCCTGTAGAATATGGTGAGAACAAGGACAGTGGACCCGGAAGATGCTACCTCTGAACGGTTGGATAGAATGGATAGAATGGAAAGAATGATTATGGAAATGGCGGAAACCTTATGGCAACAACAACAGCAGCAATAACCACACCCGCCACCACCACCAGTACCTCCACGTGTAGTGCAAGATTTCCATGCTGAAGACCTAACCATTACCCTTACCAAGGAGTTTAAAAAGATGAAACTGCCGTCATTCAAAGAAGGGATAGAACCAATGAAAGCTGAGGCATGGGTGTTGGGAATAGAAAAGTTACTCGAAGTTTTTCCTTGCACCGAAGCCCAAAAAGTGCAACTGGCTGCTTTCATTCTTGAGGACGAGGCACGGAGATGGTGAATGCTTACGAGAACTATACATCTAGGATTAGCATGGGATAGATTCTTGGAGTTATTTTATGATAAGTACTTTCCCCAAAGTATACGAGACAAGAAGGTGACCGAATTTGAGACTTTTCGACTAGGGAACAAGATCGTTGCCGAATATGAAGCTTAATTTGCAGGACTAGCACAGTTTGCACCTTATATGGTGGACACAGGTTACAAGAAGGCACGTAAATTTGAAGGGGGATTACAGAGCACTATACTGGACAAGGTCAACATGTTGAAGTTACCCACTTATGTCGATGTGTTGGAGAGGGCTGTTATAGCAGAAGGAAACCTCGCTACTCTGAACCGAATTTCTGAATGGAAAGGGAAAAGGCAGAATACTCAATGGTCAAAGGGTACAACTACTCCGCCAAATAAGAAGCAAAATTCAGGGACCTCCAGCATAACCACTTCTACTCAAGATTCAGCCCTTGTGTGTTCAGAATGTGGAAGAAGGCATTGTGGGGTTTGTCACCGACTGTCTGGAGCATGTTTCCGATGTGGCAAAACGGGTCATCTAATAAGGGATTATCCTCAAGGAAATCGAAAAAATAACAACAAAGCTGTTACAAGTTCAGTAGGGTCTGCACCAATGTCCAACACCAAGTCGATTGCAAAACCTGCTAACAACAAAGACACTGCAAGGCAAGGCAGAATATTTGCATTGGTTCCGGGGGATGTGCAGAATGCTGCGACAATGGTGACAGGTACATTTATGGTTCACGGTTATTTTGCTCATGTATTGTTTGATTCTGGCTCTACCCATTCTTTGTGTCGAAATTATTTGCACAAAATTTAGATAAATCTAAGGAACATTTGTCATATATGTTATGTGTGTCTTCACCTTTGGGAGGCTCTATGATTTGTGCTTCTGTATATTTTGCTTGTGAACTCCAACTTGAGGATAACCGGGTATATGCCAATCTGTTACCTCTTGACTTGACCTATTTTGACATTATTCTTGGCATGGACTGGTTGAGTGAATATGGTGCAACTATAGACTGTCTGAACAAGCAAATCAGTTTTCACCCTCCGGGACAACCATAATCTATTTTTCAGGGACAGGAAGTGACTTCTCCACCTTATTTGATTTCTGTAGCAAAGGCTTGTAAATTAATTCAGAAAGGGTGTCAGGGGTATTTATGCAGTATTTTGGAGGGGCAAGTGGTGAATGGGGATATTGACGTGATTCCAGTGGTCCATGAATTTTCGGACGTTTTTCCAAAAGAATTGCCAGGGCAGTTGATAGACCGTGAAATTAAGTTTATAATTGAAGTGGCGCCGGGAACTCAACATATTTCTAAGACCCGGTATAGGATGTCACCGGTTGAAATGAAAGAATTAAAGATTCAGTTATAGGATTTGCTTGATAAGGGATTCATCCGTCCGAGTGTATCTCCTTGAGGTGCGCTAGTTTTGCTTGTGAAAAAGAAGGACGGAACACTTCGGCTATGTATTGATTATAGGGAACTCAACAAGGTAACAATCAAGAATAAGTACCCCTTACCACGGATCGACGATTTATTTGACTAGCTACAAGGGGCACAGGTCTTTTCTAAAATTGATCTACGGTCCGGATACCATCAATTGAAGGTCAAAGCTGATGATGTGGAGAAAACAACTTTTTGAACCCGGTACGGTCATTATGAATTTCTGGTTATGCCCTTTGGAGTTACTAACGCACCGGCAGCATTTATGGATCTAATGAATCGTGTCTTTAAGCCTTATCTGGACGAGTTTGAGGTAGTTTTTATCGATGATATCGTTATATACTCAAAGAGTACAGAGGCTCATGAGAATCATCTTCGTATGATCCTTCAAACACATCGAGAAAAGAAGCTATACGCAAAACTGAAGAAATGTGAATTCTGGCTACATGAGGTAGCATTTCTGGGGCATGTAATAACAAAGGATGGAGTCTCTGTAGATCCACACAAAATTGAGGCGATCGTGAATTGGCCACCTCCTTCCAATGTGACTGAAGTACGTAGTTTTATGGGATTAGCCGGTTATTATAGGAGGTTTGTTCAAGATTTTTCCAAAATCGCTGTGCCGCTTACACAATTGACACGAAAGGGAGTTGCATTTGAATGGTCAGAATAGTTGGAATTTGCCTTTTAGGAGTTGAAACCAAAGTTGATTACAGCACCAGTTCTGGCCTTACCATCCGGTACCGAAGGGTTTGTAATCTACAGTGATGCTTCGCATAAAGGGCTTGGTTGTGTACTTATGCAAAATGGAAGAGTTATCGCTTATGCCTCTCGACAGTTGAAACCCTATGAGAAAAATTATCCCACACACGATCTTGAGCTAGCAGCAGTAGTTTTTGCTTTGAAGATATGGCGGCATTATCTGTATGGCACTACTTGTGAAGTTTATACCGATCACAAAAGTCTCAAGTACCTTTTTACTCAAAAAGAGTTAAATATGCAACAACAACGCTGGTTAGAGCTGATTAAAGACTATGATTTACAGATTCATTACCATCCTGGTAAAGCCAACATAGTTGCAGATGCGCTTAGTCGGAAAAATATGGGAGATTTGGCAAATCTAGTTACGAAGCAAAAGGATTTGGTGATTGACTTGGATAAAATGGATGTGGATCTGGTAATACGTGGACATGAGGCCGTTATAACAACGATGATGGCTCAACCAACTTTACTTGAAGAGATCAAGCTACGCCAAATGGAAGATGAAACTCTACGGAAAGTATGTGATGAGTTAGAGACAAAAGCAAAACTGGGGTTTCGCTTAGTGGATTCGGTGTTCAAATTTCAAAACAGAGTATGTGTCCCTAATGTGTTGGACCTTAAACGAAAATTAATGGAAGAAGCACATGCCTCAAGATTTTCAATACATCCGGGAAGTACTAAAATGTACCGGGATTTAAAACAGAATTTTTGGTGGCCAAGTATGAAAAAGGAAATTGCAGAGTTCGTTTCTAAATGTCTACAATGCCAGCAAGTAAAAGCAGAGCATCAGAGACCAGCCGGACTGTTGCAACCCCTTCCAATCCCATAATGGAAGTGGGAACATTTGATCATGGATTTTGTTGTGGGGTTACCACGGACTCCTCGGGGTATGAATTCTATATGGGTCATTGTAGACCGATTAACCAAGTCTGCTCACTTCCTACCAGTGAAGACTTAATATAATGCAGATAAACTTGCAGTAATCTATGTGAGTGAAATTGTAAGGCTTCATGGTGTTCCGGTCTCAATTGTGTCGGATAGGGATCCCAAGTTTGTTTCAAGATTCTGCCAAAGTCTGCAAGAAGCTATGGGTACAGAACTCAAGTTCAGCATAGCTTTTCACCCTCAGACCGATGGTCAATCTGAGAGAACGATACAGACCCTAGAGGATATGCTCCGAATGTGAGTGCTGGATTTTTAAGAAAGTTGGGAAACCCATCTACCGTTGGTAGAGTTTTCGTACAATAATAGTTACCATTCGAGTATTGAAATGGCACCCTATGAAGCTCTGTATGGAAGACCTTGTCGTTCTCCCGTGTGTTGGACCGAAGTTGGGGATAGATCGTTACTAGGACCTGAAATTGTGCAGTTGACAACTGAGAAGGTTAAAATTATCCGGGAGAGATTGAGGGTGTGTAAGTGTATTAACCCGACCCTCATATCTGTTACTGGTATATTTTCAGTCCCACGTTCTATGCATTTAAATGTTTATTGTGAAATTTTATGAGGAATTAAGTTTAAGTACATGGGTCTTGTGATTTGGAATCGATATCTGTTTGGCAAGAAAGTTATCTGTCACCATTAGAATGTTTGACTCAGAAATTGAGGGTCCTAGAGGCTTGATAATCCGAAATTGATTTTACATTTGAAATCAGCATAATTTTTAAGTAATAATAGTCACTTCCGTAGAAATTTGATTTGGAATAATTAAATCGATTGAATTTTGTCCTCATTCACTTTTATATATTTATATGGTTCCCTAGACTTTTGACTTAGAATCAAGAAATCCAACATCCTGAGAAGGTTAGGAAGAGAATTAGGGAAAGGAGGAGAAGACCTACAAGGAAGAGATTGAAGAATTAAAAGAGAGTGTTAGAGATTGTGAAGCTACAGGTATGGAGGTCTACTTTGATTAACTTCTTTCTTGTATATGGATGAGGAGATTTTTTGTGTATTCATGCAATTAATGCTTGTGTTGGTGTGTGTGCGTGTGTTATGGCACCTAAAGAGTTGAATAAGTGTCTTTCATCATGTTATTGTTTATGTAAGTTGAACCATGTAAAGAAAATTACACTTCATTTCTCCTTGGCATGCTTGAACAAAAATATATGAACAAGGCCATGAAGGTATATGTTATCAATCTCATGAATTGAATTATGTTTATGAGCTGTAAGGGTTGAAGATCTAGTTTAAAGTTAGATTGGTATGTGTTGTAATCCTATTAACATAAGTTTTGAACCTATTTGGAGCCTCATAAACACTTACCAAAAAATGGGATTTTGTATGAATTTTTGGACTGTTTTTGGGCAGAATCGCCGCACGTGCGGGGAAATGCTGCAATTTTGGGTTTTGAACACTGTCTAAAAAGCACGTGCGGGGCATCACTGCCGCACGTGCAGGAGTGTTTGCCGCACGTGCAGCCCAAGGTGAAAAATAATGGATTGCTCCATTTGACCTATTTGACCCTCTGGGATGGTTGAAATTAATATTTTCAATTTTTAAAGTGCGTCTTAAATTACTGAAAGCTAACGAATGAAATGTGAATTTAAGATGAATTTGAACTAATTTGTGAATTCTATGTGTGTAGGGCACACTCCAGGAAGAAGTAGCGTCCCACCACAACACTGTGAGTAATAGTGCAATGGATAAGCATTCATTACCATTAATGCTTATCGCTATTAACGTTCTGTTTTCCGTAAGTCACTACATTACATATATATTGGTTGGGAATTGATGTGAATGTAAACGTGAAAGGAATTTGTGCACATCTGAGTTATTTCTGGGTCGATGGCCGTTCTGAAAGTAACACAGCATTGGATTAATCTTATGAACTCTGCAGTTACATATGGGTGGTTGTGTATTATGATTTAAATTGTACATTGAACTATATAAGTACCGATATTCACTGAGCTTTGTTCACTCGGCATCTTGTCTGTTTCTGTAGGTAATCAACTCGGGAGCCAGTCTTAACTCCTGAGGCTCGTCTATCTTTTGTCAACCTCAATGTGTCCAGGCACTTAGGTGGAGCCGTCCTTTCTTTTTGTGAACTTTTGTCAAGCTTTTGTTTAAGATTGAGATGTCTATAATGTTTTATTATACGCCCAATCTTAAGGCTGGGTCTGTATATATGTATGTATATAACCGATGCTCCGATGCATGTTTCTGTATATTATTTTCCTGTTATAAAGTTTGTGATCCTGGCATAGTAGTGATAGCTCATCAAAGATTCTTTTCTGTTATGTTTTTATGCTTAATGCATCCGTTCAGACCCCGTATGTTATGTATATCAGGTTAACTGTCCGTCTGAATAGGTCATGCCCAAACGTTTAGGGGCAAGTTGGGGGCGTGACAGTAAGTGTTGATTTGTTTCTTAGAGAGTGTTCCCCTTTTCAAGAGGTATAAGTCTTAGCTTGCTGCTTTGCTTCATTCGTTATTTTTCCTACAATTTTTAGACTGTTTTTAGGCTGTATAAACTCTAAAATTTTGGGCTGAAACTTGTGGTTTAAGGCTAATAAGGGTGTAGGGGTGGATCACCGTTCCTTCCACCTAGCTTCCTAGGCCATTGCCCGTGTGTTTCCCACATCTTTGTTAACTTTTTTTGGAGCCTTTTACAGCTGAATCTCAGAGGTTTTTCAATGGCTAAAACCATGTTTTGAAGTCCAAAAATGGAGGGGGTAGCCTCCCCTCTTTATACTTTGTTTACTAGCTTAAATAGCTCCATGTTGTAGCTTACTATTTTAGCTCTTTGTACTTCATTTTCAACACTATTTTTGATTATCTTAGGGCTATTTGAGGTTGTTTGTTTCACTTGAGTTTTGTATAGCATGCTTATAGTGTAGTAGTCCTCATGTGCTTGGTGGTTGAGGCCTTAACCACCAACCTATTTGAGTTTATAGCATTTATTTCTTGCTTTCCATACTTGTGATTACCTCTAATCACCTCTGCAATCTCCCTTCTTTCTTGGCTTTTTCTTTGCTTTGAAAGTTGTTTCAAACTAGTGGTTTCAAACTAGTTGTTTGTTTAAGCATGAGATTGAGGTGTTGTGCTTAATGGTTTAATCCCTTTGGGGGTTCATTATCAACGGCATGATGTTGTTCTTATGCCTAAAACAACACTTTGTTTGATGCTTTTTTCCATCAGAGCAGTTAAAGATCACTTTTGGACTCAATGAATTAAAGAATGGTTAGTAATTAAAATAAAGTAATAAAATTGGGACTAAAAATGATGTAAGATAATAACTTGTTTTGGGTTCAATCAGATGTTAATTGAACTCTAGAGTCTTGAGTCGTTTCATACTTGTTCGTGATGAAAACGGTTCAAGAGTCATTGTCAACCACTTCCCTTGATCAATACATGATAGGGAGGGGGTTTGAGAGTCTTTTGTTGTGCATATTATTTAAATTGTATCCTTTGGTTCATAGGCCATCATACAATGAAATTGCATCGATTGGTGGCTTGTGAATCAAATTTACCACTCCTTGGAGCTGTTTGATGATATGGAGGGGTAAGGTGTACAAACATCCCTTGAGAATACATTGCTTGTGCTCTATTTGCTCTCTGTTGCAGCAGGAAGAACGAGGCTCCAATGGCTGGCCGACAACTTTTTCTGGCCGGCAGGCCACTTTTTTTAGACGATAAGCCACTATACTTCTAGCCTGCCGGCCACTTTTGTCATATTGAGCAGCAACTTTTTGGAGTAGAACAGAGTAGAGGCTGAGGTGAAAAGATGTTCTAACTGTGCAACAGAGGCATTCTGGCAGTAGAACAATGGGCTTTTCGGGTGGAAATCTGCATATGCATGAGCATTCCTCGCTTCTTGGTGCTAATTAGTTAGCTTAGTTACTTCTTTCATGTTGTGTTCATGATGTAATTAATTAGTTAATTCTGATTTGTAATTAATTAATTAGTGTA